CTTCTCTAACTATTACTAGGAGCTGATGGAGAGTAAGTCAGAAATTTATAACAAAAGTACTACTGGTTTTATAAAAGGAAATCTACATGTATGTTAGATATAATAAATAGACAATCATTATATTATTATTATTATTTTAAAATAATTATTTAATACCATTCCAATCATAGTATAACTACATTAATTAAGTATGCACATTTTATTTCTGAGTCAATGATATTTCCTGTTTGTTGTGTAGGAGCATGCAGCACATATCACAAAATATGACGGAGCAGTTCCTGACACTGAGCCAGTATCCTGAATCAATGCACAAGAAAGTGACACTCATCAAATACTTCAGAGACTACATGTCTGAGCACTTACTAAAAGTGAGTGTAGCTAAACATATTATGTTTTGGCATAAATCGGTTGTGATATGTACTCTGCTTTGTATACAAGAGCAGTTTCAGTTTCAGTGTTATTAATGATTATGTGTTTTATTGTGTCAGGCTGGAGGCTCTGTAGGAGAGAGAGAGATTGATGATGGAGTCCGTCTTCCTTTCCTTAGAGCATGGTCCAGAACAAGATCAGCTATTGTGTTCCATTTATCTAATGGGACTCTACAGGTAATGGCTATATAATATATATATTATGTGTTGATGTATATTGTGTGTGTGTAATATGAACTGGTATTATGAGATAGGGGAGGGAAGGGAAGGAGAGAGGGGTCAGGGGAGGGAAGAATTAATTAAGGTACATGTAGTACTTTTTCATAGGAAGTATAAATAGTAGTAATTTACAGGTGATGTTAATTTCTTGTAACATGTGATCATAACATGTAATGCATACGTAATTGGTATTTTATTTATATAACTGTAGATAAACTTCTTTCAAGACCACACTAAGATTATAATATGTCCACTGATGCAAGCAGTAACGTATATTGATGAACAAAAGTCAGTTCGTACCTACACACTTGAGGGCATTGAGAAGTTTGGATGCTCCAAGGAGCTGGCCAGTCGTCTAAAATATGCCAGAACAATGGCAGAGAAACTTGTAGAGAAACTTGATACGAAAAGCTCTTCGTCTAAGCCACACCAACCAACTTTACCATCAGTGCCCATGCATGCTTAATGTAGCATTACAACTTATTCTTACATGATTATTACTGATATTATACGTGTTGTGTCTTCCTGTTGTAGCAGACAACTAAACTATATTTAATAATTCTTGTTGTCCATGTATAATTGTTTGTCATCACATAAGTTTGCTCAAAATAAAATGAGACTGTTAATTAAAAATGAATTATCATGTTGATTGTATTGTTCACGTGACCACACGTGATTATTGTCCTGATGAATAATGTTAATGCCTTTGACCTGCGTTGCTTTGACCTTAGACCTTCCAGTCAGTCAGACTCACCCTCTCTGCTTATAGTGCTTAGCGTTGCTGTATCAGTGTAGGACGACAAGCTTAGTTACTTTTAAACAGAAATGGCAGGTATTAAAGTGTAATAGCTACTTAACTGATGTATAAACACTTTTCATTTTTGTCTTTCTACAGCAGCAGCTCCTCCACAAGGTCAAGAACTCCTTTGTGTATTATAGTTGTGTTTTACATTAATAACATTTTCTATTATAGTTCAATGGATGCCACCTCCCCAGCAAGGCCTTCCAGGCTGTCCTCCTGGTCTAGAATACCTCACACAAGTTGATCAGCTTCTTGTTAATCAGCAGATTGAACTACTAGAGAGTAAGACACTAGATCTCTCAATACTTTACTGTGCATCTCTTTATCATTATTTACTAGTAATGACTGGGTTTGAGACTCAAAACAAGTATAAGGTCCGTAATTCTTTGGGACAGCAGGTCTACTTTGCTGCTGAAGGTGGGTCTTATTGTAATTAGCAGTTTAGCATGCAAATTGGTATAGAACTCACAAACATACAGTGACTAATGTGTTGTATGTATAAGCTACTGCTACTGTAAGTCACTTGATAATAGTTATTATTGCCTTAAAAGGTAAACCCAATCCTGGCAATGCAAGTCAAAAACGATTATTAATAAATTATAATTGAATCCTTCTGTATTGTAATCATTTTGATTTTTAGATTCAAATTGTTGTCTGCGTCAATACTGTGGACCCTCTCGTCCTTTTGGCATGCAAATCCTTGACAATAACCAGAGAGAGGTCATCCATCTTGAGAGACCGTTGCGTTGTTCCTCCTGGTGTTGCTTCTGTTGTCTCCAGACAATGGAGGTACAGTCTCCCCCTGGAACTGTCATTGGTTTCGTAGAACAGGTAATGAAAGGAAGAGGCTTGAGTGATAATAGTGAAGAATATAAGGAGCTTATATCCCACACTGTTATTGTTATAATAGGATTGTAGTCTTGTATATCCTTGGTTCTCGTTGAAGAATGCTGATGGAGAGACTGTTCTCAAAATCAAGGGACCACTCTGCCCTTGCAAATGTTGCTATGATGTAGAGTTTCAGGTATGTATGGTAAATAAGCATAATTAACCCTCGGGTTCAATGATACATCCTTCCTGGTACATCTTGATACAGCAGTATTATACTGTTATCTCATTTTGTTGATGCATACCAGATAAAGGAAAACAATTTCCTTTTCATAGGTATTGTCAGCTGACGGTACACAAGAGGTTGGTAAGATCAGTAAGAAATGGTCTGGGCTAGCTAAAGAGTATTTCACTGATGCTGACAACTTTGGAGTCACATGTAGCTAAGCCTGACTACGCTGTATAAGTGCTATCCTTTTCCTCTCTTTTAGTTCCGATGGACTTGGATGTGAAGATGAAGGCTGTAATGTTAGCTGCAACATTCCTTATTGTAAGTCTATGTACTGTATGTATTAAAGATCAATAATTTTACATTTCAACTCTCTTTGCAGGACTTTATGTTCTTTGAGGATAATCAAAACAACAGAAACAATTAGATAATACTTTTCATGTCTATTTACTGCTAAAATGTTATGTATAAGGAACTGATTTTTTCACTGTGTATGATTAGTTTTAATGAGAAATCTAGAAAAAACATTACCATGACAACTAGATCTTGGCAACATGTTGGCATGTTGCATGCATGCTGCATGCATGCCTGAAGCGTATCACGTGACTTCATTCAAATTAAATTATTCATTGGCTTATTGTCTTCTTTCCCGAGTCTTTTCCAGTTTTCTTTCTCATCTTCAATCAAGAAAGAAACAAATGGCAGGTTAGTATATTTGTCTTTGTACCTGGTTAATGCCTTATTACCCTAACACGTACACATAGCTGCTCCACCAGGCTATGCACCTCAGCCCGGATATGCTCCTCAACCTGGCTATGCCCCAGCTCAGCCCGGCTACCCTCCTCCTCCACCAGGTAAAACCACTCTGTATTAAGCGTACAGCATTTATTTTATCTTCTTTCTATTTAGGTCCCCAGCCACAACAAGGTGAGTAAAATTAATTACTCTGTTTGTATTGTTATGTTATCCCATTATTATTATAGTTCAATGGATGCCAGCTCCCCAGCAAGGTCCTCCAGGCTGTCCTCCTGGTCTAGAATACCTCACACAAGTTGATCAGCTTCTGGTTAATCAACAGATTGAACTACTAGAGAGTAAGACAATACCCACCGTGAGAACTTTTAAATTTTTTTCTTTTGTCCTTGCCCTTCTTTCTAGTAATGACTGGATTTGAGACTCAAAACAAGTACAAGATACGTAATTCTCTGGGACAGCAGGTCTACTTTGCTGCTGAAGGTAAGCACTTGTTCTTGCTAGATTACTCTGCTCACGCCTCACTAATCACAATTTTATTGCATACTAATCAGCTTTTATTTCATGTGACAAGAATCAGTGTTTAATTTATTTTAGATTCTGATTGCTTGACACGTCAGTGTTGTGGACCCTCTCGTCCTTTTGCCATGCAAATCCTTGACAATAACCAGAGAGAAGTCATCCATCTTGAGAGACCATTGCGCTGTTCCTCCTGGTGTTGCTTCTGTTGTCTCCAGACAATGGAGGTACAGTCTCCCCCTGGAACTGTCATTGGTTACATAGAGCAGGTATGGAGGACAGTACTGTGGTGTGTACATTTTATATATGTGTGTGTGTGTGTATTAGGATATAAGCTTTGTGTATCCTTGGTTCTCATTGA